TCAGTGAATTATTGAACTACGGGGGTAATTTTTGTTTAGGGGGCGTTATTAGAATGGAGAGCTCACATTCACATCAGTTTACCACTGACTGCTACTCTTCATTGTAAAAACAGTTAAAAGTCACATTCAATCGCTTTAAATCGTTTTAAACGACTCACCTCCTTCCAGTTGGGTTCCGTTTTCGCCAGCACCACCCAATCGATCTTGAGATCATAAATGGAGCCGCATATCGTGTCACGATGCAACTGACACGGACGCAATGGTATCAAATCCCCCTCACACACAGTGCAAGTAATACATTTGTCCTTGAGCGGATCCCACCAGCTGTGTAGATCGCAGGGTGAAGCAGCACAGAAGGAACATAGCGTGGTAAGGACGAGCAACGCACCGATGTAGGTGGCGACTTTTGAAGAGCTACTCAGCAGAGTGCGCATAGCCGCATTTAATAGTTGAATTGCAGGTGAAATTGTTGTTGTTATAGTTTTAATTAAGTTGATATTGCTGCTCCCGCTGGAAGTATTGTTGTTGTGGTTACTGCTATAGTTGTTGTTACCGTTATTGTTGTGATCGTAGTGATCTGTGTCATGCAGTGCCGCACTGGAAGGCGTATTAAACGCAATGTGATGGTTATTGCTGTAGTAGCACTGATTGCAGTTATTGATATTGCAATTCGTTGTATTGTTGCTGCTGTTGTGGTGGTTGTTGTTGTTGTTGTTAATATCATCACGCCTTCTTCTTCTTCGCCTGCTGCTCGTTGCTGCTATAGCCTGTGCGCAATATCGCTGCAGTCGCCAGCTTATGCTCTGCGCATGTGTGTGCATTGTGTCGAGGTGTGTGTGGGTAGTGGTAGTGGTGGGGGTCGTGGGGATGCTGGTGTTGTGGTTGGTGATTGTTGGGCGGTTATGATTAGCAATATTACTTGTATTCGTACTTGAATTGGGCATGGTCACTGCTCTTATGATTGTTGTGGCTAAATGTGTATCTAATATAGTGGGTGTAAGGATAGGAGGAGTGGGCGTGGTCGTTGCTGGATAGGCGAGTGTTGTCGTAGTTCGAGTCGACATTATCTGAAAAATTAGAAAAAAAAATATTTAAAAACTAATTTAAAAATATCTAGTGCTAATTATGTGCGTATTTGACGAAAATAAAACGCAAAGGAATGCTAATAAGGCGACCGTTAATATGCCTATATGTATGTATGTATGTACATGTGTATATAGCTTATGCGGCATGGGTATACATATGTACTCATGTGCTGTGGGAATTTACTCCAGTAGCAGTCAATTTAACTAGCTGCATACTATGTATGTACATATGTATTTATGTACGAGTAGATACATAGAAAAAATCAAAATCAGAGTTTCCCATGAGTTCTAAACACTTTCTCTATTTTTCCGCTTCAATGTCAGCAGAATCTTCTTCAATTGTTGTTACTAGGAATTTATGCACATGTGTACAAATGCACAGGGATGCGTTCAACTCTTTCTTATATATATGTATATATATGTATGTATGTGTACATGAACATAAATATGTATTCATTCCCGTTGATGCGTTAAAGTACGTATGTATGTATTTGATGGTTTTATCCATTAGCGACCAGCAATTTTAACTCCAGTACTCACCCAGAGCGTTGTCAATTACTATGCGTTTAGAATGCGCTGAAAATGGATTTTCCCAGCAACGTTAGGGCTCTAAAACCATGAAATGATGTGCGGCAGAGTTGCCAGACAAAGTAAGTTCTGAATTTGACTTTGGAAATAGCCTCTACAAAATTGAAATCAAATTACGCTGCATACAATTTTATAAAATGTTCGTAATTCGTTATTGGGCCGTATACAAAAAAAAAAAAATTAAGCAAATCGCTAGTTTAGAGTGAAAAGTTGCTAAGTCCAGCTTTTCATTGTTTCGAAAAGGATAGAGGTACTTGTTTTATTCATTCTCGTTTATATTCAATAAAAGGACACTTTGCTAAGTCCAAAAGATGCACCGAAAATCCGATAAGGCCAAAAGAGTACGAAATCTTTTAATAAAGATCGAATCCCTCTGATTCATATGAAGTTTTGCTTCGCTTTAAACAGCCAAAATGTTGTATGTCCATAAGACGTTTTTTTCCTCTCCTTTAAAATTTTTAAAATAGGACTTAGCCACTTTTCACTCTAAGCTAGCGAAATACTTTTTCTTAAAATTTCAGACCTTTTACTCGATTTGTTCAAATAAATTAAAGTGAATCGTATGACATTTTAAGAAAAAGCAGTTGCTTAGTTTTTGTGCATACGGCCGATTGTTATTGAAAAATAAGAAAAGCCTATTGCCATGAATGTTCAGTGGGCGACAAAAGTCTACGTACAGAGATTTTTTCGCAACAATATTTTTTTAAAACATTAGCAAAAAGATATGAAAATAAAAAGCTTCGCATTCATAGCGAAAAATTCTCTGTCCATAGACTCTTGTCGCCCACTGTATCCATATATTTTAGTTGAGAAATCTTCACAAATTACCAAAAAATCTAAACAGTTAGGGTAAAATCCTAAATAAATTTAAAATATGTACTTATTCAGGCAGGTTC